TATATATACCTTCCTCTGTACACCAGAATAGACTGCATCAAGGAGACTGAGGAGAGTGATGAGCTTTTCTTGGAACACCTTATTGTTGCCATCACAGTYGGCCACTGCGGTAGCAATACCTCTGTTGTCCATGTGGTATTGCGAAGTTGTGTTAACCAAGACAGCCCCAYAATATCCAGAGCCTTAAGAAAATGAGGGATGATCTCATCCACCACCCGGAGCCCTGGCRCTCAATGGGTAGCTGTGACAGAGTGGTTASTGGAGTTGTACWGTAACTGGTGGGTTGCTGGTTTGATCCCCCATTCYGTCTCTCTCAGTTGTTGTGTCCTTGGGCAAGATGCTACACCTACCATGCMTGCTAGTGGTTGTCAGAGGGCCCAGTGGCTTCAGTGTATGGCAGCATCACCTCTGTCAGTGTGCCCCAGGGCAGCTGTGGCTACAATGTAGCTTACCATCATCAGTGTGTGAATGTGTGTATGAATGGGCGAATGACTGTASTGTRAAGCATTTTGRAGTTCGTAAGGACTTGATAAAGCGTTAAACAAGTTCAGGCCATTTATCATTTACCTCTGTGACCTCAGCCACTGTTATGAACGGACCAACCCCAAAGTCCTCAGACTCAGCTTCCTCCATAAAAGAYGTGCCTTTAGGATTAGGAAGGYCTGAGAAGYATTCCTTCCATCTCCTGATGACACCACTTCTTCAGGTCAACATCATCCCACCTTCATTGAMCACAGTGYTAGTWCTGTGCGTCTTTCCCCAACTCAGCTGCCTGATGATTTGCCAACAKCTCATCAGAGCCAAGCTCTTTACCCTCACTGAGATCCTCGAGGTGTTACAGGAGTTTGCCAATCCAGTCTACATTTGTTTTGTGGACTTGGAGAAGGCATTTGACCGTATTCCTTGAGATACAAACTATGGGGGGTGCCCCACGAGTATGGGATTATGGGTCCATTGTTACGAGCCATTAAATCATTATACAAGTGGTATGAGAGTTTGGTTCATAATGCTGGCTGTAAGTCAGACCCTTGCAGGGTGGGGGTTGGAGACCGCCAGTGTTGCTTGTGATCACTGGCTCTACTCATACCCTTTAATGGGCAGAATTAATTTTTGTAGCCGGGGGCAGAGAGAGAAGTTCAATTATCTGGGAAAGACTTGACGTGGAGTTGCTACTCCTCCACATTGAGAGGAGACAGTTGAGGTGGTTTGGGCATTTGGTAAGGTTGCTCCCTGGACACATCCCTATAGAGGTGCTTTGGGCACAGGATGGATGGATGGATGGATGGATGGATGGATGGATGGATGGATGGATGGATGGATGACAATTTTTACTGACTGACTACTCTTCTGATGTTTCTTTGTGGTGTATCTCAGCAATATGTACTGTTTAGAAGTAATACTGCTCAAACAGCAACACTTGAAAGGGTGATTCACCCTGACCATGTGGATCAACTTATCTTCCAGATAAAAAAAATGTTTAGTATAAAAAAATGCATTTTACTGTTCATTGCCAAGAAACTGAAATTATGGTATACACATCTTCAGCTGGAAGTTTTGTTTTTTTTTTTGTTTACATTTTGCACTAGGTATATTTTTATTTTTTATTTTTGTTGTTGATCAGTTTAAGTCAGGTTTTATGAAAGTATATTGTAATTTTAAAAGAAGGACTTACTTGTAAGCTTTTTCTTATCAGGCAGTAAAATATTAGTCTCAATTGCTGACTTATTATTATTATTATTCAATAACTGACTTCTAAAATTATTGTTTGTTGTATTCCATTAAATTTCTGTGTTCAGTCAAAACTCATGTTAAATCCCATTGTGCCATTAGGGACTCTGTTGAATTATGTCATACTGTATTTTTTTGCTTGTGTAGCTTGAGTGAATTGGACTTTTGGTAGCGTATGGAAATATGTATTGTATCGACCGTGTACCAGAGTTGCACACCGTATGTAAGGCAGACATGATTCCCTACAAATGAGAAGTTGATTGCAAGTTTTGGTCTTAAAACTGAGCTCCCTCATTTTTTAAAATTTATGCTTTAAAAAGTAATTTATAAATAGCTTTACTTTATGTGTATTTTCAGTAGTTTTTTTCCCTGTGAGATTTACTAAGCAAAAAATTAAACAAAATATAGTTAGCTGTATTTGTTGTCAACTTGTTTTCCCACAGCCAGCACACACAGATAGCACTTGTTTACTGTTTACACTGGCTTTTACACCCATACCATGCATGAGTTTATGTAATTAAACAATAATAAGACTTGCCTTGCCAATTAGCTGGAGCATGTTTGTTTTGTGTGTCTAGTGTGTGTAACTGGTAGCTGTTTGCAGTGTATTTGGAGGCTTGTTGTTTTGGATAATGCCTGAAGGGCAGCCAGTAGCTTTGTTTGGGCAGAGTGCATCTGCCATAATGTTGTTTTGAGAGGTGCAAAAGTGGGCAGCACGAGAACTCAGAAAGCGTTTGAAATGGTAATACACCCATGTGCCAAAAGCTCACTGATGAAATAACACCACAGTTTTAACTTAGCCTTATTTATCAATCTCCTCCAGAGTATAGCTGGGGATCTGATGATTCGTAACATCCAGCTGAACCATGGTGGGAAGTATGTCTGCGTTATCGACACGGATGTGGAGAGCCTGTCCACCTCTGCAATTCTGGTTGTCAAAGGTAACTGGCTGACTTCAGCAGCTTGTTTTTGCACGTCAGTTTATGAATAACCTTGTATATCTACTTCTAGAGCTAGACGGGGTGAAAGTAAAAGACATTTGATAGATAAGTGTGAAAGATCCCCCAGGCTTCTTGTAGAAATACAGTGCAGGAAAGCAAAAAAATGAACGTTGCCTGAGTCCACGTTATGTCAGCTTCGATTAATATCATAAATACAGCCCATACTGCTGAAATGTTTAAAAAAAAGGACACAGAGGCCTGTGCAAGTACAGGTTTACATGTGCTGTGGTGGACGTTTGGTTTATCTAGCAGTGTGCATGCTTATTTCTGATGAATACATAGATTTTCAAAGTCCTTGAAAAAACTAACTGTGCCAGGTTTTAAAAGAAACACATTTACCACCAAAAATTGTATAATTTTGTAAACCAATGTATAAAATATACTATATAATGTATGCATAGTTGTAAAGAATATTTGGAAAAATAGAGCACTGTATCAAACAAAGTTATTTGATTCTCATCAGAGTTGCCTCTACAAAAAAATCCATTTAGTTTATCTTTCCACTTCCTGTGACCTTATGTGGACGCGACAGCTGGCCCGGCTCGTCACACACACAGACACACACACACTGTTAACACACTATAGATTCAGCTGTTGTATAAATATATTTATGATGGTCTAAATGTGCAACATAGTGCTGAAGTCTTTGTGAGTTTGACAAGAAGTTTCTTGGAGTGGCTGATCACGTCGAGTTCATCCTCTTCTTTGTCTGATTGATTCAGGTCCTCCAGGCCCTCCAGACAAAGTAGCAGTGGAGGAAATAACAGACAGCACAGCACAGCTATCCTGGACTCCTGGAAGGGACAATGGCAGCCCCATTACTGGTTACATCATTCAGGCACGAACACCATTTACTGTGGGCTGGCAGGCCGTTGACACAGGTATCCAAAAACTGCGAAATAAGTGTGGATGTCAAGAAATGATTTTTTTATATTAGTTTGTTGTGCGACGCCATGATTTTCTTCAAGTCTAATTTCCACTTTGCAGTGCCAGAGGTAGTTGGCGGTAACATGCTGACTGCCACAGTGGTGGGTCTGAATGCCTGGGTGGAGTATGAGTTCAGGTTGGTGGCCCGTAATGCCGTAGGCCTTGGAGAGCCAAGCCCAGCCTCAGCCAAGACCAGAACGGAGGATGCTAGTATGTAAAAGTTACAAATTTCTACTCATGCAATATAGAAAAAATGTTTATTCACTGGAAATTTACATCAACTATGTTTTTAATAGATTACAAAAAATGTTATTTTAATCATTTTTTAAACAAGCTGTGCTGATTTTATTTCACCAAATGCACAACCACAAGCTGTGTTGCTAACGTAGTGGATTTCTTCGCTAAATTAAGCAACTGTTTGAACCCCTTGGTGAAGYAGGGAAAGGTTATCCTTCACTGCACCAACACACTAGAGGAGGAAGTGATGATAACACAAAWACTTTTACTATTATCTGGAAATTTTACAATTATAGGAGCAGCAAACAGAGCGTAGACCAGCACTCACATTGCTTACAGTAGTAAATAGTTTTATTTTCAAATGCTCACTTTGCTCTCAGCTCCTCTGCAGTTTTCTTACACATACTGAGGGCTATGAACTCARGGCTTTATTGTTGATTCATTTCTTTGAGTGTATGTGTTTAGACGCTAGCATTAAAAATGTTGTGCAATATTGGCTAATTTTAAACAATAAACACTGTTTATAACTAAAGAAATCAGATTTTCTGGCCAGATACTGGTGGAGCATATTTAGCTGATTTTTTTTCTGAAAGGAAGTAAAACCTATTTAGTATCTTCCTCTGAGGATTTTTAGTAAGTATAAATGTGAAAATCTKCTCTTGAAAAAATATTTTCAGCCTAATGGGCCTAAATGAGCAGGTTGTATTAATTCTGTGTTTGAGTTGGTAGGGACTATGATATACAGTATGTACGGGGGTTAGACAATGAAACTGAAACACTTGACATTTTAGTGTGGGAGGTTTTGTGGCTAAATTGGACCAATCTTCATTAATTGCACATTGCATCAGTAAGAGCAGAGTGTGAAGGTTCAATTAGCAGGGTAAGAGCACAGTTTGGCTCAAAATATTGCAATGCACACAACATTATGGGTGACATTCCAGAGTTCAAAAGAGGACAAATTGTTGGTGCACGTCTTGCTGGAGCATCTGTGACCAAGACAGCAAGTCTTTGTGATGTATCAAGAGCCACAGTATCCAGGGTAATGTCAGCATACCACCAAGAAGGATGAACCATATCCAATAGGATTAACTGTGGACACAAGAGGAAGTGGTCTGAAAGGGATGTTATGGTCTAAAACCAGGTGTTTCACTTTCATTGTCTAACCCCTGTATGTACAGTAAGTAAACAGATGCTAATAGGTTGCTCTAAATAGATCACACAACATGATGGTGCTGCTGATATGCAACCTGTAATACTGTATTGTCCCGTCACCGAGACGGGGGACAATAACAAGTTTCAGAAAGCTGTAACTTTAACATAGAAAGACTAAAATACACCAAACTTGCAATGAGTCGTCCATGATGCGGGCCCAACCATATCAAGTGGTAATATGACATAATCAAAGCCCCACCCCCTGACTACAGGAAGTGACCTTTTTTGGCTTGGGAGGATTCGTCTCTCACCCTCTTGACCTAATCAGCAACAAATTGGGTTAGAACATAGATAAGAACTTGATCTCACTTGTTTTCAAGTACAAAGACTTTTTGGAGAAAGGCGTGGTCATGGTGGTGTGGCGAAATCAGACATCATGCTGTTGAYATACATTTGGCTYTAAATTCCACATATTTCAGCCAATCTGCACCCAATTTCCTATGGTCGGTCCTAAACCACCCACTACAGGAATGCAGTCCAATATTTGGAGGGTGTGGCCTAATTAGACATCATGCCGTTGACATGCAGTTGGCTCTAAATCACACGTACATGATCTGATCTGAACCAAATTTTGTGTGTGTGGGAGACCTGCTCAACATGTGTGTAGTAGTTTGACAAGATCAGTTTAGCCCCCCATCTGTTCACCTTATTAGATTATTTAAATACTGAAAACCTGTGATGATTCCAACAAAACTGCTAACAGTTGGTCACTACTGAATGGCGACGGGGG